CAAGGCCCAAAGGGACCATTGTGATCTTATAGTCCAGAGCAGTGGTCTCCAACCTTTTTACCCCCAAGATCACTTTTTAAATGACAGACCAAGCCAAGATCTACCGCCTCACCCCTTCCTTGAAGCCCCGCCCTCTCTATTCTCCTCCTCTCCATCACTTGCTATCCCCAATCCTTATACTGCTGCTTTTTTTCCCCCAATTCTTCTGTAGGAAGAGGTTTTTCCAACATTTGGCCTGTCTAGACTGCACCAAATGTCAGAAAAACCCCTTCTTTTGGAAGCCCCCTTATCCTCATGGAAAGAGGAATATAGGGGTGACCAAAAGAGCATGTTTGCTTTTCCACTAAAAAAAGCGGAAGAACAAACGCAACCCTGGATGCAGAAGAATGTTTCTGGGATATCTCCAGTATCCTGAAAACCCCCGGAATTTTAGCCATATCCTCTCTGGGTTGAGACAGGATGTGTAGGCTCAGGGGTGGGAATGAGGGATTTGGGTGTGGGACGGGGTGAGAGGTGCAAGCTCTGGGAGGAAATCTGGATGCCGGAGGAAGTGAAGGGGACACTGGCTCGGGGAGGGGGCTCCTGGCCAGGCAGTGTTGGGGTATTAGGCAAACCACAGGCTTGTGGATGTGAGGGTGCAGGAATTCGGGTTGGGGTATGTGAGGGGCTCAGGGCAGGGGGTTCCAGTATATAATAGGCTCAGATTTAGGGTCTGGGGGAAGGCGTTGTGGCCTAATGGGGACTTGGCCCCAATTGGGGGTTTATTGGCCAGGTTTAATTTTTAAATAACATACTATGTCAAACACAAAAAGTTTCTGCATTGTATTTATTTATGAGAAGGGCAGGGAACTTGTCTTTAGTCAATGGTCACTGACCCACAGAAAAATCAGCTGAGAGCAGGGGACATGGTACGGTATTTCTCAAAGTTGAGAATCAATGAAGACGGACTTCCATGTATAGCACAAGCCATATAAATTCCCCAGAAGGATACCTACAGTGGATCTTTTAAAAAATCATTCAGTCTTGATTTAAAAATTGTTAGTAGTGGAGAAGCCACCATGACACTTATTAAACTGTTTCAATGGTTAGTTATTCTCACCATTAAAAATGTAAGCGGTATTTACTAGTTTCAACTTCCAGGTTCTGTGATTGTGTTGGACCTGTCTTTGCTAGACTGAAGAGTCCATTGTTAAATATAGACACTTAACATACTAATCAAGTCATCCTTATCTTAACAAAGAGGAGGTTAAATGGATTGAGCCCTCTCAGTTTATCACTATAAAAGGCATGTTTTCTAATCCTTTAATCCCGTGGTCCCCAACACGGTGCCCACAGGGGCATTTATGTGCGCCCGCACCGGCGTTTTAAAACTACTCACATTCACCTCTGCTTAGCGCAGGGTCGGCAGCCTGGGGCCCACGAGGGAGCCCGACACGGCGCTTTGGAGGCTTAAGCCCCGCCCCCACCGCAGCAGACCGCCCAAAGGCATGTTTTCTAATCCTTTAATCCCGTGGTCCCCAACACGGTGCCCACAGGGGCATTTATGTGCGCCCGCACCGGCGTTTTAAAACTACTCACATTCACCTCTGCTTAGCGCAGGGTCGGCAGCCTGGGGCCCACGAGGGAGCCCGACACGGCGCTTTGGAGGCTTAAGCCCCGCCCCCACCGCAGCAGACCGCCCACGCAGGCGCTTCAGTAGCCAAAGCAACCCCACGCTGGTCGGCCCCCCCCCCCTGCACAAACCAGCCGTGGCGGGGCCCTTTGTGGTGCAGGAGCTGCGAGACGGCAGGGGAGGGTCCCTCATGGCCGCTTCCACCACCCCACTCCCCCCACACAAGCCCATTGGATGGACCTGGACAATAGCAGCTGCAGGAACCTACCAATCCCCAAGCACATGGCCAGGCAGGTCTTGTGGGAGAATCAGGAGAGCAATGCGTCTCGCTGGTAAGTGTCTGGCCCCCCATCTACTCCCACTCCGATATCTTCACCCACAGAACTCTCCTCCCAGACCCTGCACCCAATCCCCTGCCCTAAGGCACAATCCAAACCCCTGGCCTGTCGCGCTCTCCCCCCCGCCCCCCCAGTAAAATGTCTGGTATTTTCTGTTTCTCAGCTGGAAAGCCACTTTGGAATGCGTCTCGCTGGTAAGTGTCTGGCCCCCCATCTACTCCCACTCCGATATCTTCACCCACAGAACTCTCCTCCCAGACCCTGCACCCAATCCCCTGCCCTAAGGCACAATCCAAACCCCTGGCCTGTCGCGCTCTCCCCCCCGCCCCCCCAGTAAAATGTCTGGTATTTTCTGTTTCTCAGCTGGAAAGCCACTTTGGACATTCTTCCCTTGCCATGTGGAAGGGAATGTGAAATTTAAAGGTGCCATGGCCCCCCCCCCCCCCAGTAAAATGTCTGGTATTTTCAGTTTCTCAGCTGGAAAGCCACTTGGGACATTCTTCCCTTGCCATGTGGAAGGGAATGTGAAATTTAAAGGTGCCATGATTTTTTGGGGGGAGGGGAGGGGTGCTTTTTTTGCTCAACATTTGGACACCCCCCCTTTTTATTAATGCAGAATTTTGTTTAAAAATGAATTACAATAGAATTAAAATATTATCCAATTATATTAAGTTTCTATCAAATTTACCCAATTCACTTTTAATATGAAAATAGCCTTCAATTTCACATTTGACGCCTTTTTTTGTTGGCGCCCGCCATACCCTTCTGAAAACATGAATGTGATATTGGCCACAAAAAGGTTGGGGACCACTGCTTTAATCATTCTCATGGTTCTTCTTTGTACCTTCTCTGGTTTCATCAATAACCCTTTTTAAATGGTGGCACCAGAAACAGGGGCAGATTTGAGCATGTGTTGCCCCAGTGTCAAATACAGAGGTAAAATAAGCTCATTATTCCTACATGAAATTTCCGTTTATGCACAAAGGGGGTCTCATTAGCTCTTTTGGCCACAGCATCTCACTGGGAGCTCATGTTCAGCTGATTATCACCCATGATCCCCAAATCTTTTTCTGGGTCCCTGCTTCCCAGGATAGAGTCCCTTATTCAATAAGAATGGCCTGCATTCTTCTAGATAATACATTTATATTTAACCATATTAAAATGCATATTCTTTGCTTCTGCCCAGTTTCACCAAACCAGATTGCTCTGAATGAGTGACTTGCCCTCTTCATTATTTATCATTATTTTTGTGCAAATTTTATCAGACATGATTTTATATTTCCTTCCAGGTCATTGAGAAGAATTTTAAATGGCAAAGGGCCAAGAACTGGTTGCTGTGGGAACCCACTGGAAATACATCCATTGGATGATGATTCCCTATTACCAATTACATTTTGAGACATCAAATTTAACATATGCCATGTTAATTTGATATCACTGAAAGTTTTTTAATCCAAATGTGATGTAATACTGAATCAAATGTCTTTCAGAAAGTCTGTAAGACAATATTATTACTTTAATCAATCAAAATTACTATTACCTTAATCAATCAATCAATCTCATCAACATGAGACACCAGTTATTTGACAGGATTTATTTTCCATAAGCACATTATCTTCGGGGGGGAGGAGGGCGCAGTTTTCCTTTAGGAGTTAAAATTTTTTATTTGAAAAAGTACCTTGGCTATCTGAAGGGTTTAAGCACCAAACTGGAATGCCCAATTCCCATTAACTTCTGGGTGTTCAACAAGAGAATTCTACAAATTAGCACGTCAAGTTCTACTCCAGTCCAAAGCCTTATACTTCCCTGTTCTCCCTCCAGTGATTAAATCCTAGAGTTTCAGATACATGCCAAGGCAGTTGCCTCGCCAACCAGTCCCGGACTGTGACATGGGAGGATTGTTTTACCTCTCCAGGTAATATGGGCTCTCCTGGTAGAAGCATTTGTTGTCTGTCTCCATGTGGCTCAAGCGGCTGTAATCATTTGGATAAACAAAGGACAAATGAACCTGGAAAGAGGAAAAAAAAAACATGCACAAAAAATTATCGCTATAGATGCACGAGCTTCAGTGTTTAATGCAATCTTTCCTAGAGATGTTTGGATCTAGAGTTTTGATAGGGCCCCATATAAAATACAGGGGTGAGTTGCAAAGTTCAGAAATTCATCCAAACTTTTCCAATGTTCAGCACTGCCTAGAGCTGAGGTCTGAGTATAGTTCTGTTTATTGTAAGGCTTCAGAACCCATTCTGGGGAACATGTCCTTCAATCCCGTCATTTGCACCTTGCTGCGTGTATCCAGCTGAGTAACGGCTTGCTTGAATTAGGAAACAGGGAAACAGACGTTGGGCTGTTCTATGGACCATGGAAGCGATACCCAAACCCTCTTGCAGGCATCAGCTCTTGGGCTATTCCACACATTATGAAAAGAAATCCTTCCCACAAGCAGGCTATTTTCTATGTTCTACAGAATGTACATGCTTTCCTACCGGAGGGCTGAGCTAAGCAAACATTTGTTTTAGGAATGAGACTTACGAACTGGAGTCCCTGATAGCGCTGCAGTGGGAATCCATTCACTAGATAACTGGGCTTGTAAGGGCAGTCGGGTAGGGTCCTGCGCAGGCGTGACTTACTAATCAAAGGCACTGAGAGGCATAGACAGACAGACACAAAGAGAACAGTTACATGGGAAATGCACCAAACCAAAGCCACCCTAAATTGGACAGCACCCACCATGGCCATTCCCTATGAACGTGTACCAATTTGCCATCACAATGATGTCAACTGCATTAAACATTCCATCTCCTGGGGTCATCTCACTACACTAACCTCTCACATTTATAATTTATCCTCCGTATGTGATATTTCAGCACACCTGAGAGAGCTGACAGGGCAGAGTGTGGAGCACCTATTTCCTTATCCCAATTTGGGGAAAACAACTTATGAAAATCCACCTTCCTCATTTGCCCTGGTTGATGTGATGTGATGAGCTGCCATTGTTTGGTGGTGTCTCACCTTTATAAATAGTGTCCCGAGGATCAGACTTCAGCATGTCAGCTGGGTGTTCCATGTTGCCCAGGTTGGCTGTGGGTGGGCTTGTATGGCTGGCCAGTGTCTGTGGGATATGACCAACCTCATCCATCTTTAAGAGAGTCTCATCTAGAAAACAGAGAAAAGGGGAGAGGGAGCAAGGAACAATCCATCTTTTCATCCCCTCTAGAACGGTTCCTCACTCTTTGAGGACAACTCCAGCACCCTCTCTCCAAACTCAATTTGGCATCTCGTTCTCAGAAACGAGTTATTTTATGGTCCTGTCCAAAAGCCCCCCGTCAGGGTCAGATCCTCACTGTGCCAAACACTATATGAACATTTTCCTGGAAAGCTCAAAATCTAGAAGAGACCAGAATAGCAGAGGTGGTTTTCAAAGTGGGGTTTGAAGAAAGAGATGGTAGTGGCTGTATGGATTATATCAGGGAGTTTTCCCATGCATACAGGGTGACCTGGGAGAAAGCCCAGACGTGTTTGAGAGCGAAGCTGATATGGATGATCAATAAAGGCTGAGAATGCTGGCAGAATTAATGTGGGGTTGATACTATAGATGGTAGGTAGGGCTAAGCAAAACTGTGAAGGGACATAAAGGTAAAGACAAAAAACTTGTGTCTGATGTCAGGGAGAAAGGAGAGCCCATGGAAGGACTTAACAGGGGAAGGTGACATGGACAGAGAAACAAGCCAGGAAGATGATCCCAGCAGCATTTTGAATGAACTTGAGGGGCTCAAGGTTGTAATTTCATCCTCAGATAACGTGGGTGGCTTCCCTTTCATTCAACATCCAGCACAAGAACTCCCCTTTAGCTTTAAGAAATCCTTCACAGATCCCTCCTCCTCCTTTTGCTGGCTTCATTCCTGTCCATCTTCTAGCATGTTCCCTTGGCTCCCATATTCCAGGTTTCATTCTGCTGCCCTCCTAGCTGCCCAGTCTCTGCACAGCAGGCAGTAGATCTTTCTCCTGTACTACTACCACCAGCTGGAACAGTTTCTCTGTTCCATGCTGGCGCTCTCAGTCTCTCCAGATCCCATCTCTTCTCCCCTGCAATGGACTCCAAATCTCTCTGAAACGCATTGAGATCCCGCTCTGTGAAACTCCCAATTTTCCCCTGCCCCAAAACTTGGCCAGAGCACATCTTCTGACCCCTACCCTGTTAAACCTCCCTCTGCCCCTTCTAACATGCTGCATTCCCAGTATGTTATTTCCATGTGCCTGGATGGGCTGCAATCAGCTGTGAAACATCTGTGGCGCCTTGGAATGAACAATGAGATACATAGACAAGTCTGTGAGGCACTAAGTCTGAGGAGGAGATACTTACTAGCGAAAAGGGAGAGGAACTGGGAGTCTATGACTGTGAATTTAGTTTCTGGGTCACTCAGCCTCCACTGGAATAGAAAAAGAGATGAGCATGAAGCATTTATTGAATTAATCCATCCAGCAGGAAAAAGAAGAGAGCACATCTGTCTAGAACCATATGGGGCCGCTGAGAAGCCTCCTTCCCCAAATCAATACAGAACATCAAACAGGGAAGGGAAGGGAAAAGGAGCAAAATTCCCCATGACTAGTGGGTGAAAAGGGAAAGGATGGAGCCCGGGGAAGAGATGGGAGAGGTCGGGAACTGAGTGGGACTATCCCAGGCAGAATGAGATAAGGGGCCAGGATGCAAACAGGACTGTCCCTTACTGAAAAGGTTCCAGGATGGGAACAGGGGCATCCTGGTCAGAGTTGGGAAGTGGGCAGGGAGGGAAGTTATCACTAATCTTACTCTCAAGCTCCATCAGTGCATATGAAACCGGCTGCATGGGGGCACTTACTGCCACTTCCACATGGTCTGTTCCTTTGTCATCCTGTTTGTGCAGTACCTCAAAGTAGTACTTGCCTGCTGCTGATAATCTGCAAAAAAGAGAAACTCGTGTGTATCATTGGGAACGTTCAGTGGCATTTGCTTGCTTCATTCCTCTCATTCAAGGACTATGGCGCAACCATACCACACCTTCAGTTGCAACCTATCCTGCTTTCAAACTAAGCAAGGTTGGGCCTGGTCAGTTGTGGGATGTGAGATCTCCAGAGGATGCTCATATGTTGCAGGCAGGGCATACTCATGATTCTGCATGTGGCACTCAAAGGGTGCAAGGTGAGCCTCTACCTCCAGCTAATGCTTCTGGACACCAGAATTTTAGTCCCCCCCCCTTGGGAAACATGGCTAGTTGCTAAGTAGAATATTGTAAAGAATCTGGGAAGTATTGTATGGGCTCTCTTCTCTCTCTTTTGTCTGGAGGTGACTGTTGGATTTTTTTTTATTTTTGTGTTTGTTTCTTAGGAGAAACAGCCTTTTCCTCCTACCAAAATTATAGTTCTCTAGAGAAATCTGTGTGATATCCACCAGGGGGCATACTGTCACCATTTTAATGTACTCCGTAGGAAGTCCAGTACCTTTCTAATTTGGAAGTTTCCCTACTTTCAAGTCTCTTTCCCAATATTGCCACCTTAAAATATTAAAAAATCATGACATTATAGATAAATATTATTTGTATTTCCCTTCTGGTTTCTGAGCCCTTAAAATACATGGGTTCAAACAAATCACATTTTCAAGCTTTTGTCCACAGTTATGAAGGCTAGAATCTTACTTTTTTTTTAAGGAAAGTTGCAACTCTCATATTATCTCCAAAAGCTGATGCCATCAGTAAACTATTGAATACCATGAGACTTGCAATAATATTGCAAGAGCTAGCAACATTGTTTTCCAGCCTGCAGGAGTCTACGCAATTTGTTATTCCTCATTCCACGAGGTGTACAGCTAGTTCGGATTAGAAGCCTAATCCGAACTAGCTACTCCGTGCTGCGTGTAGCCGCGCGGCACGGGGTTCGAACTAGCCGGGATTTTAAAATGGCGGCGCCCGGCTTATGCAAATGAAGCCCGGGAAATTCAAATCCCGGGCTTCATTTGCAAGTGCGGTATGCCTACATTACCCTCCTAGTTCGAATTAGGAGGGTAGTGTAGACATACCCCTATTCAGTGGACACTTTAGAGAGATTGAAGTTGCTTGCATTGGAAGTCACACGTGACTAGGAAACAGGACATTGAGTAATCTTTTATACGGTAGTCAATGACTTCTCTCTGGGAACAGAGAATAAATCAATGGCAAGATAGGCCACTGGATAGGAATCCTGGGGGATCGTGGGAAGGCATTGCAGGGCCATCAGCAGGTTCTCCTCGTCTTCATCACTCAAGAGTAGAGAGAGTGAACCTGCAAGATGAGGGCGTACCGTCGGTGCCAAATAGCAGGGTTGTCGGCATGGATGTTACTCTAGATTCCTCTGCCATAGTGAAAGGCTGCGGTGCTAGGGTCACCAGTGCTGAAGGCAGTGTCGAGGGGGGTACAACCACTAGTTGCAGTGCCAACGGTGCTGCATGTGCAGTCGCTGGTGCCACATGCTTGTGCCTCTTCGGTGCCAGGGGTGGCACAGGTGCTGACAGTGCCGAGTGGGACCTAGGTGTCTTTGGTGCTGGCAGTGCCTCCAAAGGTGCTGATTTGGCTTTTGCCTTTGTCGATACCGAGGCCGAATTGAATGGTGCCAGTGGCGCCGATTTTGAGTCGGGCTTCTCTGGTGCCTTGGTGCCCACTTTAGTAAGGTCCTTGGACCCTTGGGAACCGTCGGTCTCTGACAGTTTTGGTACCTTTCTGTCCGGTACCTGAGTCGAGGTCGGTGCAGGGGGTATCTTGTGTGTTTGCCCCTGTTTTTTTGAAGGGGAGTCACCTTTATTTAAAGAAAGGGATCTTTTCCTGGTCAGAGAAAGAGACCCTGGTACTGGAGCCTAAAGGAGCAGCCTTCTCAGACATGGCCAGCAGAGAGGGCTGATGAGGCGGAATGGAGTGCAGAGCTCTGGAGGCGAGGCCAGTGTTTTTGAAGGAAAGAAGTTTTAGTTGTAGCCTTGCGCATGCGGCCCATTAGCTATCTGCAGTGCTGGCTGGCACTGGGCGGTGGCATGTGCCTGTCCCAGGCACTGAACACAGTGTGAATGCCTGTTGGAGACGGGGATTAAGAGCCTGCAGGACAGGCAGCGTTTAAAGCTTGGGGAACCTGGCATCCCGGGAAGGAAATATTGTCAAGGCAAACAGCCACAATAGCAAAGAGAAACTCACCGCCCAACGATAACTATTTTTAATGATTGAAACTGTGAAAAACTGTACTCTACTACACTACCTATAACAACGAACGATGAAGATTTTAGCAAAAAGCTGGAGAGCAACTGCGGTTCCGACTGGCGGCAGAGAAGGAACTGAAGGGACAGTTGCTGCGAACGCCTAGTAGCGGCACTGTGTGCGCCATCTGGTCAGCGCGCGCAGCCTACCATAGGGCACTGCAACCAAACATCTCCAACTAGGTGCGCAGCAGCACCCCAGACATCTAAGGTGGAGCACACATAGGGGAATCCCCTGGAAGAAGAACTGGGTGGTTATGTCTGGATAGGAAGCAAGTTAATGCGAGCAATTAATTAAGTACATTTAATTGCTAGTGAAGACAAGCCCTTACAGATAAGGATCCTAGCTCTGAAGCCACACTCGGCTAATAGGAAATTAAAGAAAGGGGGAAAAGGCCCATTTTGAAAATAAAATTTTCAGTTTTGAAACCCCCATGCGACTAAGCTGACCCCATCTTCTGTTTTTATATGCTGGATTTGGTTTTCACTGAGGGTATGTCTACACTTGCACCCTCTTTCGATAGAGGGATGCAAATGAAGACATTCGAAATTGCAAATTAAGCCGAGATTTAAATATCCCGTGCTTCATTTGCATAATTGCGTTATGGCGCTTTTTTGAAATACAAAATGCGGTGTAGATGCGGTTATTTCGGGAGAACACCCTTCTTCCGAAATAACTGTTAAACCTCATTTTATGAGGAATAAGGGTTATTTCGGAAGAAGGGTGTTCTTCCAAAATAACCACAGCTACACCACGTTTTGTATTTCGAAATAGCGCCATAAAGCGATTATGCAAATGAAGGATGGGATATTTAAATCCTGGCTTCATTTGCAATTTCGAATGTCTTCATTTGCATCCCTCTATCGAAAGAGGGTGCAAGTGTAGACATACCCTCAGTGAAAACCAAATCCAGCATATAAAAACAGAAGATGGTAAATGAAAACCTTTGTAATTTCAGACACCAATAAATGCAAACTGCAGAGTGGGTATACTTGGGACTAAATCCAGATTATTTCTCTGAGCACAAGGGGAACTGGAGAGAAGCTGTTCTCAGTAGTGACAAATGGCAGAACAAGGAACAATGGTCTCAAATTATAGTGGGGGGGGTCTAGGTTGGATATTAGGAAAAACTATTTCTCTAGGAGGGTGGTGAAGCACTGGAATGGCTTACCTAGGGAGGTGTGGAATCCCCATCCCTACAGGTTTTTAAGTCTCGGCTTGACAAAATCCTGGCTGGGATGATTTAGTTGGGATTGGTCCTGCCTTGGGTAGGGGGCTGGACTCGATGACCTCCTGAGGTCTCTTCCAGGCCTAGGATTCTATGTTTCTATAACTCCCAGCTGTTTCTGATCACCCACCTCACAGGCCTTGATTGCTGGCTTCGGAATTTCCCAAATTCCCCTGGTGCTGTCCACTCCTTGCCAGTCTGTGAGAAGACAGAAAATGCCCAGGTTACAATTCACTTCTTCACCTAAGTTCCATAGTTACTGTCCAGCGGTGGGGATAACACCCATTCTTCTGGGAAATCTGTCCATGAGCTGTAGAAGCCGGAAACTCAGCCATGTCTGTTGATTACAGCCCAGGACTCCAGCAGCTTGGGAATAAATCAAGCTGCCCAAGAATATGCCAGGTGGTGCAAGTCCTCCATTTGCGGGGATCTCGCACAGTCTGATCAAGATGACGGCTTGGCTATTCCAGCCACCATTTCTTCCTCCTGAAATACAATGTAAACCAGAAGGATTTTCATCCCTCCAGACATATTAGAGCCTTGACTAAAACAGCCATGCAGCATGTGCTGTACCTTGCCTACACTGGCCAGCAGCTGGAGACCAGAGGTCTTTTCATTTGGACTCAACCAGAACTCAGCATTGTCATCTGCAGCAATAGCAAACTCGAAGTCCCCTGCCAAGAGATTTCTGAGATTAGGTGGTGCTCTGCATTAACAGGGTCTACACACAGACAGAAAAAGTTCCACTGCTAGAGAGGGGTCGCCTGACCCCTCCGAAATAGCACCTGTCCTCTGCTCTACTACCCCTTCTCCTCTCTCTGTTCTCTGGGAAACCTTCAGAACTAAAATTCAGTGAATACTTTTAAATATCTTCCTGCTGCAACAAAATGAAGTTTGGTTTCTTACCCTCTAGGTAACTTATTTCCCCTCAGCTGTGCTGAGTTTGGCTGAAATCTAACAGAGGGGGAAGCTAAGAAGTTCACACAGATTCTCCTCAGCCTCTCTTCTTTGCATCTGGGAATGTGCCCAGGGAAGCACAGAGGCGGGCACAGTTGTGTGGGCTTATGTGTGAGGCTTTGGGATGCTCACCAAGATGCATAGGTGGGGCAGTTTATAGGGGCTGAAGGGTGGCACGTTCAGGCTCACAGGGGTGGGAATGGGTGCTTAGAAGGAGATTGTGAATAGACTACTCCTAGGGGAATTTTATGCCACCGTGCCATGCAGAGTTTTGCAGAAATTAACGTGTGTGCAGAATTTTCTTTTCCCCTCACAGAAATGGTTACAGAGCTGCTAGCTGCCACTAGAAGACACTGGACTCTGCAGACCACAGTTTGCACAAAAAGAGACACTGCTGGAGGCAGACAGAGGGAGCTATATGTTTAACAAGTTAACTGGCCCAGGGCGCAGCACGGGTAAATTATGCTTACCAGGTAACTGGTTAACTGGTTGCCCCTTTACATCCATAGTTCCTGGCAGCTGCACTGCCCAGCATGACCTGAGAGAATGAGGGTGGCTCACAAGAAACCCCATGCAACCACCCGAGTCTCATCAAGCTGTTTCTCCCTCTGGAATCCTGAGCTCTGGAGAGGCGAGGGGGACAGGTGTCTGGGTTGGAGGGTCTCCAGGTTTGGGGACCCCATGGTTGGGTTCTGGGGACAGGGGTTTTGGCTGCATAGACTGCGGAGCGCAGGTGGGCTCGAGGAGGGAGGGATTGTGGTGTTTGGCCCCCTTGCTGGGCTCTGGGGCAGGGAAGTGGGCAGAGAAACAGGAACTGGATTGTCACAGGGGTTTCTTTAACTCTCATCTCCTGAGGGGGGTGTTTTGTGTGTTGATATTATTATACACATACTTCCTAGTCACTATTTTTGAAATAATAATTGAAACTGGTATGATAATGAAGTGTTATTTTGACGAATAAAATTTGCAGATTTTTTTAGAATTTTAAAATATTGTGCACAAAATTATGTATGATTGTTGTTTGTTGATTGGTGCAGAATGCCCCCAGGAGCAACAGACAGATGCATGTGGATGGATGGATGGCTAGCAACGGGGAGGGTGGAAGGGGCACAGGTTGTATGGATGCTGACAGGGACATGACGTGTGTGTATGTGCGCGCACACACACACACGTGCCTCTAAGGATAGAGGTGGCTGCATGGAATCATATATGCACACACAAGAGAGTATGGGCATGTGTACATGTGTGTGCAAATGCTGGTAGGTTGTGTGTGTGGACAGCTAGGTACACATGGGAAGCATGCCTGGCTGCACGTGGGTGTATGTGAATCAGTGTTGGGCATGCAGGAATATATTGTTTGCTCAGAAATTACATATCTGTGTTCTCCCTGCCCATGAGGAGTGTGCCCATATGATCCATGCCAACCACCCTCAGTTGGAGTCACAGCTAGACAATATGTCTGGGCTCCTAGCTAGAGAGACATCAAGCTAGAATTGCCCACAAGAGCATTTCTGTTTGGTCTCAAGCAGGGGCCGGGGCAGCATGACAATCCTGATTTGCCATGGCACCTCCTCACCATTAGTGAAAGGGTGCAGATAGCCGAACAGACGGAGCCCATAGTTTGTCCATTTTGGTGATACTGCCAGTTTCTTCAATGTGGTTCGTATCTGAAGGTGGAAGAAACAAAAAAAGAATGAAATAGGGAGGGGAACGGGAAGTATCAGTATAGGAGGGGAGGGGACTGATAGAAGGACTGGGAGAGAAGGTGAGACATGGGGCAGATGCAGGGAAGAGGATGAAGGGAGGAGGAGATGGAACTGAGGGGATGGGACTAGCCGGAGAGGGTGCAGTATGGAATGGGAGGAGTAGTAAAAGGTGGGCCTGGGGAAGGGAGAGGAGAGGTGGGTACAGTTAAAAGGAAAGAGGAGGAATAGGGTCCAGCAGTGTGGAGTTTTGATGCTGCACTGTGCAGGGAAGAGGATAGGCTGTTGGCATATACTCACGTGAGGGTACAGTGGGAAGTGGAGGTTCCTTCTGAGCTGCTCAATGGAGCTGCCGCACCAGTCTTCAAACACATGGAGATTGACTTGACCCTGGTACTGCAGGAACATAGGGACACAAAGAAAGATTCCCATTAATGGCTGCATCCCTCCTGCTTCCCTATAACTCTGCAACAGAGCGAGTCATTTGAGTACCCTGAGCCTATGGTGGGACAGGGAGGGTGATGCTCTTACTCCGGGAGTCTGCCTCAAGGGGGTCAGCAGGCCATTTAAGGGGTATGGGGCACAGCTCATTCGCTCTGACCAACCAGCTGAGTCTGTGGGGCCTTCAGCCAGGTGAGAGCCTAAAGAGCACCTGATCCTTATGGACAGTGCCCTGAAAATAAGGGAGATCTGCTTTGGGATATCTGTTGGGAGGAGCCAACTTGAGTGACATTTGAAGGGAGAGATCCCAGGAGGGTGCTAAGCCTTGAGAGATGAACTGTCTGGCTCATATCATGAGGTAAAAGCTGCCATTTTAGAAAGAATGGGACTAACTCCAGAGACATATTGTCACCAGTTTTGTATTGAACTGTTTACATAGGGAGCATACCTGTCTGCAGCAGCACAACAGTTGTAGGCAATATTCCCTCTAATCTTTTCCGTCCATGTGGAGATTTTTTCCACCCACGTGCAGAATAAATTTTTCTATGTGCACAAAAGCATGTGTATGTGCACCACCAATAGAAACACAAAACTAATCGGTGAGGGCTCTACTAATCAGCTGGGCAGCACTGGAATCTCTCCTGAGTGGCCGCCCAAGCACTGAGCTTACAGGGAACACGGGTTGCAAAACCTCCCTACCTGTTGGTTGTGTCCAGAGATGAATTCCATTGACAGAACCTGGTGGACTTGCAACAATTTGAGCAGAATTCTGAGTCAGTAGCTGACTCAACAGCCTGGCACTCAAATCCCCACCAGTACAAGTTAATTGGGAGCAAAGTGGAAGACCCATTAACGGGTAGGGACCATCACTGAAGAGCTAATTAAATAGAGAAGTGAACCTTGCAGACGGGAGCAGAACAAGAGAAAGGAAAGAAGCTCTCTGAAGGGGAGGTGCAGAGCTGGTTGCTGTTAGTGCTGCTCCATTTCCCCAGGAGACAGCAGCTGACTAGAGCTTGTGTACAGTAAACACCACTATAGGCAGAGGCCTGATAGAAGGTAATCATAAAGCACTGTGCTAGTGAAGGTGGTCTGAGCATGGTTTGTAGCTAAGGCAAGAGAGATTCCCAGGGGACCACCCTATAACATCCCCCTGTAGGAACTCAAAGCTGGGCAAGGTGTTTCTGACCATCGTCCATGGGTGAGGCAGTGGAGAGAGGGTGGACACGAAGGGAGCTGGGCAGCATGCCAGACCAGGAGGGTCCCACTTGGGAAGGCAAGACGACACACTGCCTTGACCTGGGGAGACCCCTGCAGGAGAGAATGTCCTTGTTAAGACCCTATAACATCCCCCTGTAGGAACTCAAAGCTGGGCAAGGTGTTTCTGACCATCGTCCATGGGTGAGGCAGTGGAGAGAGGGTGGACACGAAGGGAGCTGGGCAGCATGCCAGACCAGGAGGGTCCCACTTGGGAAGGCAAGACGACACACTGCCTTGACCTGGGGAGACCCCTGCAGGAGAGAATGTCCTTGTTAAGTCAA